TGAAAGAGTAGATATTTTTGCATGTTATATAATTGTGGGCCATGTAATACATACATATGGATGTGAATTAGTTAATTGTGAAGGGAAAGGCAGGCTCATCCATTCCTATCAATAAAGACAGAGTTTCCTTGTCCCAGGGTTTATTGTTATTTGAGACCCTGGCTCCTAAGCCTGCCCCTGTGAAGAACATAGTTGAGCTGTCCTGGCAACTTACTAGGTATTCAGGTATTCCCCATCAGAGCCCAGCTTTCACTGCAGTGGGGTCTGTAGCTATGCTTGACTAAAGAAACCCTGGTTGCAAAGTTTGGTCAGCTTTATACTCTGTGAGCCTAGAAGAGCTGATTCACCATAGTGTTCTCTGCTTCTTCATTGTTAAAGGAGTGATACTGACCTCACTGTAGTTGAAAGAATTTGTTATAAAACAATTTTTATATACTCGGCTCTGTTATCATACATGTACTATACAGGAAAAACTCAAGTTCAAATTAAGTTTAAGACTATCCCTTCATACCTAGTCTTTGTTGCAACTACTTTCTAGCCGGCCCTCCAGTGTACGTGCAGTCTTTTTTCTTCTCTGTTATCTCCATGCTCTTGCTTAAAGGATTTTTTGGAGATAGAGATGTGATCACTTCATTTTTCTGCCAACCTCTGATTGTTCTGTGTCGTCTACAATGGTAGCCGCTCTCCTCCCCCTACCTCTCCCAACAATTGCCCACCACAATTCCTGCTGTTCCTCAAATATGCCATTCTCTGCTTAGGACTTTCCCCACCCTCCTCCTCTTTGCTTTTTGAATTTCTCCTCTTCCTTCAAGACCCAGCTCCTCTCCTATAAAACTGTCATTGGCTCCCACAGGCAGAGGGAGATGCTTCTGCCCCTTTGGACACTTATTGTAACATTTACACTGCATAACTTTTATTGGTTTCCTAAAGTTCTTTACGGACAAGAACTTTCTCCTCCTCCCCCTCCTCTTACTGTTGTTAATTCTCAGCAGTCCGTTCATTTACTATTTCACAGAAATTTCATAAAAAGGATTGGTGGTAGTTTGAACTTCATTAGTTGAAAGTATCATAGGAAAATATTCTGAAGCAATTGTTTCTTTTTTTACTTAAGATACTTGGTCTTTTCCTCAAATATTGTGTGTGGGAGCAACCGTCAAGTGTTAGGGAGCTGAACAGGTCAAGGACCAACCTTTGAAGACCTCAGGTTTCTGTACCAAGAGCTATGTTGTTTTGCCCACAGTGCTTATTAAACAGTCTGGTGTATAGTAATCACTCAGTAAATGTTAGTTACTATTAGTATTATCATTGCTTAGCTCTACTAGCCAAGAAGGTTGTTTTTAAGTGCTTTATGTAGTTTGTAGTATCAAAGCAACAGGTTGTTCTTTTTTTCAGACTTCAAATGCAAAATTATATCGTGCTAGTGACTTGTGGTTTTTCAAACCATAGGTGGATTCAATCCACTGTTCCTGGAGCTTCTCATTCTAGAGGGATACCTCCTAATTGACAATCATTGTCAAAATGCTCTATCTTTTCTTTGTACCATGTGGTCTTTCTGTCTTTAGGACTGCCTATTGCTGTGGTAGCAGTAAGAGAAGCTCTCAGATGAGAGTCTTACCCCTTGACATTATCTCTCTTTTTTTTAACTTATGCACTGGAGTTAAATGTTTTCCGTCACTTCCTGATATCACCTGAGGATTTTGTTCTTCTTACATTGTGATATCCTGGAATAAGCCTCTGTCTTTCTTAATTATATATGAAAGTAAAAGATGATTTGTGAGTTTCAAAAATGATGAAATAGAAATTTTTTTTTGAAATTACCCTTTTATCTGCTCTCACTAGATTTAAATCTTTATTGAAAGCATTTGCTTTTCATAGTTTCTCTCTTAATTTCTCTCTCTCTCACTATTATTATCACTCTTTGTCTTTGCTTATTTTTCCAGAAGGTGCATGTTCCTCCTTATTCATTTTTAAGCAGTTCCAAAGCTGCTGTTGATGCCTGAAGCTCCTTTGGAGGCAGAAAACCAAGAGTGAGATCAAGAATTGTAAGAATTTGTGTGTATAAAGAAAGGTTGCTGTTCTGGGTCTTGAGTGTTTGAGATGGTCCAGGAAATTGTTGTGGGAAAGAGAGCAGATTGGAGGGTGGGGCACTTGCCCTAACAGTGAGCAAGGTTTATTATAAAGCTGCAGTAATTAGATAATGGTAGTAGCATGGAAAATGTTAAGTAACAGTAGTGGAATATAACACAGAACCTAGAATTATAGCCACACATACAGGGAAGCCTGAGATATGACAAAAGTACATTGCAGATTAGTGGGGTAAAGGACACGTTAAAAAAAAATGATGCTGGAAAATTGATTAACCATACAGGGAGAAAAGTAATTTGATTCTTCTCATTACACTCAAGAATCAATTTTCAGATGGATTGAGGGCTTAAATGTGAAGGACGCAACTCTTAAACATTTATAATACATAAAATTATACTTTTGAGCCTCAGGCAGAGCAGGATTTTTACAAATAAAATAGTAAAGTACAAACTATAAAAGAAAATGTTGATAAATTCAGCCTTGTTAAATTTAAGAATTTCTGTTCACCAAAAGACACCATAAATTAAGTAAATAGATATGCTCCAGGGTAGAAGATATTTATAATTTATATAATCAACAAAGAATTAGTATCTAGAATATTTAGCTTTTCTAAGCTAAACATGTTAATTACTACTTTTCCATGACCTAATCTTTATAATTATTGGTCATTAGACTATCTTGTAGCCCCCTAGTTGTATGTGAGGTTGATTGGTGCTGTAAATTTAGTGTTAAAGTGAGTCATTACAGACAGTTTTCTGAGTTACTAAGTCATTTTTATCAGGCAGGCAGTCATCTATTAAATCCACTTGAACTCAAAACTTGAAAGATCAAGCTACCTCTTTCAGGGAAAGCCAACAGAAAGATAGGCCTTTCTAGTACTCTTATGTCTATACTATTCAATAGTAGTATTCCCTAATGATAACTGCAGTTAATAACAGAACAGAAATGCTAATAACACTTAAAAATGATAAAATTAATAGCTGCAGCCCTGGCCAGTATGGCTCAGCTGGTTGGAGTGTCATCCAGTAAACTGGAAGGTTATGGGTGTGATTCCCAGTCAGGTCACATGCCTGGATTCTGGGTTTGGTCCCTGGTTGGGGCACTTACAGGAAGCAACCAATCAGTGTTTCTCTCCTCCATCTATGTTTCTCTCCCTTTCTCCCCCTCCCCCCCTTTTTTTAAAATAATATAATAGTTGCAGCCACATGCACATATGGATTTTATTTCTCAATATATAATACTATTGACTATCTTTATCCATTTTAGTCCTTAGAGAGCTCTGTTTTGAAGGGAAGAAAAATGAAACTCTAGACTCTTCACATGCAGTAATTGTGTTTTTAACAACAGTTGACTTCTCCTGTACAATGAAGTGATGCTTTTTCCCTCTATTTCTAAGAATTGGAACCAAACTGTAAGTAGGGGAAAAGACCAGGGTGTTTCTCTATGCTTTTTCTTCTATAAACAAGGAAAAGAAAATAACAGTTAAAAGTCTTATCTACGTATTAAAAAGTGTAAATAAACAGAAGCACTACTTCCGCAATTCAGACCATGTACTCTGTGTGAAGATGAATCACCCACTGGTGACCTGGTATCCTGTGGCAGTTGGCACAGTACCTGCTCTTAATAGGATTTTGACTTCCTGAAGGCAGGGGCCAGTTATTTTTTATTTGTCAATCACAGTTTCATGCTCCAATTTCTGTCTCATTACCATTTTGGCAAAATAATCTGAAGGGGAATTATGATCACAGAAGGGGCTGTCTAATAGTGGATAGAATAATAGAGAAAGTCACAAGAGAATGAAAGAGCTTCATAGAGATCTGTGTTTATAATACTTTAAGAACTATAGGAAAGTGTTTATAAAATTACATTGCAAAATTTGTAATTGAAGAAGGGCCAAGCAAATGAAGTGTGTATGCATTGTTTATATTATAAACTCAGTAGTAATCCCATCTAGTTTGTAAATGTGAATGCTAGAAATAAATACCAGAAGTTTGTTCTCCTATTAACCATGGGAACTGTACAGCCAATAATGAAGTTTTTGTGATTTGTCCAGGAATTGGGTACAAACTGGGATCCCTTTAGCCTGGATTCTTTGTGGGAGAGTATTATAATGGAAAGAGTTTAGGGACTATTCAGGGTAGCTAGGTTTTATGACCTGAAGAGACCCAGGGTTCTGTTTCATCAAAAGTGCTAGTACTCAAGTAATCCTGACCCAGAAGTCTAGTAGAATTTTTGGTCTTTAGATCATTTTCCTCAATTTTTACAAGTGATCACACTATTTTCTCTATTAATAGGAAGTGGAATTGTCTGGTTTTCTATTTTAATGAACACCTGAAGATGTGAATTGGTAAATTTATGGGTACCATGTTCTTAGCTCACTTTAGTAATGCAGTCTTCTTCTTTTTTTCTTTGTTAGTGATAATATTAAAAGTGGGGTGTCTCAGCACCTGGACAGTGTTCTCACACTGCCACTAGTAACAGAAGTATAGTTGATGATAGCAATCAAGTGCTGTGTATTTGAAATTGATCTCACACTTTGCTCAGATAGCCACCTTCTTATTCAGCGTAATGTGACAGGGAGCTAAACAAAAAGGTGTGATTCCCACCTCCCTAAGAGGTGGACCAAGCTGTTACAACCCAAGAGACCTGATAATTAAAGTTCCAATTCATCTTTGTCTATATTTACCAGGGAAAGTCTTGTTTCCAAATTGAAATGTTTCTACTAATTAATTTTGGTAGCTGTAATTGAAGAATCTGGTGCGGCTTATCCAGATATGCTTAGCCCGCTAGCTGTGTTTTCTGTAACAGGCAAAATCTACACAAGACAGTATCAAAGATGAATTTTGATTGCTGATATATTTCAAGTAGCTTGGTTTCTCCCCACCTGATAGAAGTTGCTGCATCTTTCCAAACAGGTTCTCTAATGATCTTGCTTCACCATGGCTACAAATATGGAGGGGCTGGTTCAGAACAGAGTGGGGACCCAGCAGGTGGCTGAGGTGAGTGACAGGGGCTAGCACAATAGCTGGCACCCTTGCTTTTGAAAGGAAAAGTACATCAGTGTGCTCTCTCTCTTTTTTTTTAAACAGTCCCAGCGAGGTCAGCATGTAATCTAAATCCAAAGCAGGATGCTGCCATAGAAGTAAAAAATGAAAATGACAAGAACATGTACTCCTGTGTTCCTTTGCATGAGTAGGATAGCCTAGTCACATACAGTAGGTGACTTTTAAAAATTTCACATTGAGCCCTGACTGGTGTGGCTCAGTGGATTGAACAGCAGACTGCGAAGCAAAGGGTCACCAGTTCAATTCCCAATCAGGGCACATGCCTGGGTTGCAGGCCAGGTCCCCAGTAGGGGGTACACAAGAGGCAACCACACATTGATGTTTCTGTCCCTCTCTTTCTCACTCCCTTCTCTCTCTAAAAATAAATAAATAAAATATTTTTAAAAATAAATAAAAATGTCACCTTTAACTAAAAGAATCTAATGTTTATCAAACATATGAGTACAGCATTAACTCTAAAGCTCTGTCTTAGTTTATTCCACTTAGTTTATTTGACACTTTGTTAATCTGTTGGTATGATGGAAAACCTGATTCTGTGCATTCTTGAGTCATCATTGACCATCTACTGTGTACTGGGGATTTTGCTAAGAGCCTAGAAATATGGAGGTGAATGAGCCATTGGTCCTTCCTTTAGCATTTTCACAGCCTGGTTAAAAAGTCATTTTCAAACAGGGTGAGAAATACAACTCTGTGAGGAAGGTGATCCGGGAGGTGAGTCTTCAATGCCAAATAAACATTTGTCAGACAGAAACAAGGAAGTGGGGTGGCATAAGTGAGATAACCTATAAAAAGACATGAAATAGCTTGGTATGTTCAGGCAACTTGAGGTACAAAGGAGGGAAAGGGGGTCAGATCTTTTCACTCTGTACCAGGTCATATGCATGGTCTTCTGTCATCACAACAACCTTACGAGGCTGGTATGATCATTATTCCCATGTCATAAGTGAGGAACCCAGCGTTCAAAAACAAGTACATCAGTACTTGGCTGAAGCACACACTGACTCAGTTCTGTGTCGCTTCTTCCAAAACTCCAATAATCTATGCATCATACTATAACCAGGAACCATTAGAACAATTAAGATTTGTATTTTGGAACCAGTACTCATATTTCTAGGGCAAAAATGCAAATTTATGGAGGAATGGACATTTATAGAAAGTATTTTTAAAAATAAAAAATAAGTACATACATGCCAGTTTAAACCAATGAAAATAGTGAGCAGATTTTTTAGATTTTAGATCAGACATTAAGGCAACAGTGTAATTAATCATCCCTTTCCTCCAGCAAATAATGATTATATTAACTAAAGATGATAGCAGATGGATTTCACACATTTTTTAGTATTATATTTCTGAAAGACCTGTCAGCTATTAAAATGTTGGTGGTTATTTGTTGCTTTAGTTTCCAATAGGAATAATTACCTTGATAACCATTGGGTTTTCAAATATTTAGAGTTATTTTGCATTTGATACAGTTTCTAGTTGAGATTGATTTAGAGAGTAGTTGTGGATTACTGCCATAAAGAAGTCATTAATTCTTTAAGAGGAGGAATTTAGTTTAATAATCTACAAGGCTAACCTATAGTAACTTACAGGTTAATATATTTTGTGTATGCATTGAGAAAATTTGCTAGCTAAAATTTTTTGTCAGGTACGTTATTCAGAAAATTGAATTTCATATAGTATTAACTTAGTGCAAGTATTGTTTCCCATGGCAAAAAAATACAGTTTTAGGAAATTTCCAAAATAATAGAAGGCATTCTCAATAAGAGTGCAAAAGCTGTCTTCCTATTTAAAATATTCCCTAGATTTTCTTGCTATTATTTTGAGGGATAAGTGTGTGCATGTGTTTTTTGTACTTGATCTTAGCCAAAAGGCTGAGAAATGATGCATGTGTTCTTTGGAATTTTGAGCTTAATAACTTTGAACTATATATTATAATGACTACAGTCATGCACCACTTAACAACAGGGATACATTCTGTGAGATTCATTGTTAGGTGATTTTGTTGTTGTACAAACATCATAGTGTGTACTTACATAAACCTGGATGGTCTAACCTACTTACCATATACACACCTGGGCTATATGGTATAGCCCAGCAATTTTCAACCTTTTCTACTTTATGGCATGCATAGACTAATTACTAAAATTCTTCACACACGAATGGTGATGATTTCCAGGGAAGATGGCAGCATATATAAACATGATACTTTCTTCCTCCCACAACCACATCAGAATTACAGCTAAACTACAGAATGACTATCATTCAGAACCTCCTAAAATCTGGTTGAATGGAAGTCTTACAACTAGGGAATTAAAGAAAAAGCCAAATCAAGACAGGTAGGAAGGGCAGAGACATGGAACTCATTAGTCCCACACCCATGTGGTATGGATACAAATTGGGAGGAATAGCTTGTCCGCAGAGATCCCCACTGTGAAGTGAAGTGTTCCAGCCCTAGCCTAGGCCTTCTAGCCCAGGGTTCCAGTACCAGAAAGAGAAGTTCCCATAACTTCTGGCTATAAATCCAGTGGGAATTGAGGCTAAGGGAGATGGAGGAGTTCCAAGCACTTCTTAAAGGGTCCAAGCATGCTCTTACTCAGATGCATTCTCTCTGAGTTCCAGGGCTGGGGCAGCAGCTTGAAGGAGACTGGGGCATATGGGGAAGAATTGAATTGTTTGGCATGTAGACAAAAGCTGGGAATGGCAGCTTTCTCCCAGAGGCTTTTTTCTGAGACCTGCCCCCCACAGAGCAGGCAGGCAGGTACCATATCTGAGATTCCATCAACCTGGCTCATACTGTTTACCCTGCCATGGTCATTCCCTGGGGCCTGTTCCACCCCACTGTCAGGCCCAGCCAATGTGTTTCCAGTGGCTTTTTCATATTAATGACCTGTCTAGGCTCTCACTTCAGGTTTTCCTAAAATCTCTCAAGCAAGCAGCATCTTTCCTCAGCATGCCCTGTACCTCTCACTAAGTGGCCCCGGCCTCAGCACTATCAGCAGCCAGCCTTGGTTCACAGCTTGGCCCTCTCCTGGGCACCTCCAAGCCCAGCAAAAATAGCAGCCATCTGCAGATCACTTTGTAGTTCATGTCGGGTGTCAAAGAATACTGGTGGTGGCTGACCTTGGCCTGAACCTCTTGAGAAGCCCCAGGGCTAGCATACCCAGTGGACAGCTTCAGACCACATTGAAGCATTATCACCCAACCACCTCCACAAGCAACATGCTCAAGTGGTGAACTCAGCAGGTACAAGAGCCCCACTAAATAAGTCTTGCTCTGTCGAATGGACCTATTTGCAACTGATCCTCCATCATGATTGGAAGTTGATGGTTGCAGCCAGTCCTTGCAGCTGATAGGCCTGAGGGTAATCTCTCCCATTGATGTGCTAACAACAATCAAGGATCAACTACAATAGAAGGGTGCGGATACCCACATAGGGCACACCTCAAGTGCTCAGCTTTGGGGACTGGGAAAGCTGTGCCACTGGACCCTGCAGAACATGTAATACATTAGGCCACTCTACGAAGCCTGGAAGACATAGCAGCTCTATCTGATTCATAGAAACAAACATGGCCCTGGCTGGTGTAGCTCAGTGGATTGAGTGCGGGCTGCGAACCAAAGTGTCACAGGTTCGATTCCCAGCCAGGGTACATGCCTGGGTTGCAGGCCATAACCCCCAGCAACCGCACATTGATGTTTCTCTCTGTCTCCCTCCCTTCCCTCTCTAAACATAAATAAATAAAGTCTTAAAAAAAAACACACTAGGAGGCTGCCAAAATGATGAGACAAAGAAACATGGGGGCGGGGGGGCGCGGTAAACAAAACTCCAGGAAAAGAACTAAACAAAATGGAGACAAGCAATCTACTAGATGCAAAGTTCAAAACACTGGTTATAAGGATGTTCAATGAACTTAGTGAAGACATCAACAGCATAAAAAAGGACCAGTCAGAAATGAAGGATACACTAACTGAAATAAATACTGGGAATCAACAGCAGTACGGTATATGAGGCTGAGAATGAAATCAGCAATTTGGACTATGGGAAGCAAAAAAACACCCAGTCAGAATGGCAGAAAGGGAAAAAATCCAAAAAAATGTGGATAGTGTAAGGAGCCTCTGAGACCACTTCAGGCATACCAGCGTTCACATGAGGGTGCTGGAAGAAGAGAGAGAACAAGAAATTTAAAACCTATTTGAAAAAAATGATGACAAAATTTCCCTAACCTGGTGAAGGAAATAGACATTAAGTCCAGGAAGTACAGAGAGCCCCACACCAAGACACATCATAATTAAAATGCAAAAGATTAAAGACAAAGAATCTTAAAAGCAGCAAGAGTAAAGCAGTTACGCAAGGAAACTCCCGTAAGACTGTCAGCTGACTTCTCAATAGAAACTTTGCAGGCCAGAAGGGAATAGCAAGAAATACTCAAAATGATGAGAAGCAAGGACCTACAACCAAGATTACTCTACCCAGCAAAGCTATTATTTAGAATCAAAGGACAGATAAAGAGTTCCCAGATAAGAAACAGCTAAAGGAGTTCACCACCAAACCAGTATTAGTTGAAATGTTGAAGGGTCTTCTTAAAGAAGAAAAAAGATTAAAAATGTGAAAATAAAATGACAGTAAATACATAATCTACCAACAGTTTAGAAAACTAAGTAAGCCAACTAGCAGAACAGAAACAGATTCATAGATACAGAGAGCATTTCGACAGTTGCCAAATGGGGGTGGGGGGGCGGGTTGATGGTATTGCTAAAACGGGATGGGATTAAGAAGTAAAAATTGGCCCTGGCTGGTGTGGCTTGGTTGTAGCATCATCCTGTAACGGAAGGGTTGCAAGTTTGATTCCAGTCAGAGAACATACCTAGGTTGCTGATTTGGATGCATGCAACCCCTGGTCTGGGTGTATGAAGGGAGGCAACTAATCGGTGCT